CTTTCGCATATGTCGAAATATTGCATGATCAACGGCGTCTACTGTATATGTATGTGATATGCCCACGAAGGAATAGACGCAAGCTGCTGAATAGGCTTCCTGAGGCAAAAAAGTCCCTAATGAGTGGCAGAGGCTACAAACAGGCAATCAGTCGAAATCTCTCAGGGCATGCTAACGGAGGGGACGGTTCGGGCTTATTCTGCTTTCATGCAGCCAGTCATAACCCCGAATAGCAATTGGGAACAGAAACACAAACAGGAATCCGCATACTGCGTAAATGGTCCAAAAACGGGGCCTATCAGATAGTTCTCCCACATTCATTATCATGGCTTGACTGGCTTCCGCCTGGTAGGCAGTTACCTCCCCCCCGGCGACCCACTGGCCGCTCAACTGGTGATCGTTTGGTTCAGGAAACCAAAAGATCGACGTGTGCCTACTTCTTTTTTTAGATGAAAAAGTACATGCGCTCCAGCAAGAGAGGATGCCTGACCTCGAGACACCGATAACACCCCTAATGCAAAGTGTGCTGCGTGAGGAGAGCTGTGTACAGTTGTGTCGATTGCGTTTCATTCTCTAAACTCCGCTGTTCAGCTGGTGACAGTATGTGTGTAATATTTGCTGAAAATCCATAGACTGCAAAAATGTGCTAGACTTCAGCCACTGAAACGTTGAGAACCGATTGTGAGAAGTTCCAACTCGGGCTTGCGGCCCCAGATTATGGTCAAGAATTGAAACTCAAGACAACTGCGGTGTGAATTTGGGTCACTAAGGGCTAACAGCAAAGAGGAAGTTATATCCGATTCGCTGTAGGTGGGTTTCCCTACCTTCCAAATGTGCTTATAAAAACAGGAACAGAAAAAAAGTTACGCATTTTGACCAAAACTTTCCACAAAAATCCACAATTCTAGGTAGCAACACCGTCGTTAGCTTAGTTGCCCTATGGTCGCTTGGACGCTCATTATACGCCCAGCTCCTTCAAACATGACCACAAATGTGATGAAGCAGTTCACTGTTCCCCCACCTTCCCTCTATTTGTCCGGCGTGCAAGTGAACATCTACGAACACCAGAGGCAGATAGAATGGTCTGTGACGAAATTATTTATTATGAATTCCGAAACATCTCGGTATTCTTCTATTATTTGGCAGAATGGGATAGGCTTAGAGCGATCTTCGCCCATCAGCGGTCAGAAACAATAAGAAATAGAGACAAAGACACGATTCTTAGGCTCTCGTTTCTACAACAGCCGATCCGATTATTGACTGTTTTATTTACACTACTAGAATCTGTCGTGTCCTGCAGTTTGGGACTAAATTATGCTTTTACCATCCGAAAGTTCACTAGGCGAAGTTCCTCCCGGAAGATGAGGATGGGCAACTCGCATGGTAAAGTGTCTGGATTTTATCTTATGGCATTTGTATGCCTACAGACGTAAGAGAGGGAGGATTCAATCGGGACTGTGCGCACGTCGATCTATTGGCTTCTTGAACCAAACAATCTCCCCGCGTGGGTGGCAAAGATGTCGAAGAGACAAAGAACTAGCAGGCCGAAGAAATCAGCCGAGTTATAATAGCATAGGAGGAGGGGACGACGATGATGACAGAAAATCCGGGTAGATTGATACAGTCGGTTTTGGGTTTATCCTGCCTTCTCTTCATTCAGTCAACGATGACCGGAACCGGAACCGGAAACACCAAAGTCCGCCCGCGCACACGCCGCGGATGGTCCACCGGGGGAGAGGGGTTTTGACAGATGAGTCATAAGCACTTCCTTGACCCACAGTCCACCGGTGCCGCGCCACCTGTCAGTCTCTGTAGCTGCCGATCGGGTAGTGATGCGAACAGGAACGGGCACACACCCATCTAATTGACTTCCCGAAGTAAATAAGCTCCGTAGGGGATGGGGGCAGAGGTTACGAACAGACGACCAAGTATTTAGCCGAAGTCGACCATGTGGTCATAACTTCGCAGAATTAACATTGGTTGAGAAACCGCAGACTTCTTAAGTGTG